GGCCAAGCTCAAGCTGTCCGCCACATCCATGACGTCGTCCATGACAAAGAACGCGGGCCTCATGAAACAAGTGATGTACTATCATTTCGTCACAGGTTCTAACGGCGCCAAGGCCGTCTACCCCACCTGGTCCCTCAAGGCCGGCACCACCCTGGACACTATGTGGGTGATGCAAGGCTGCCACTGGGCTGAGCGCACACGCCGGCCTGGAGTGCTGAGAACGACTTGTAAATGCACACAGCTTGGCTGTTGGTGACTTCAGGCACTACTGAAGTGTATTTTGTGGGTGTTACTGACAACTCGCCCCCACTACCAACCCTGCAACCCGTGTGTGCTCAGGTACATGTCCAGCACCACCAAGAAGCACTACCAGCTGTTTGTGGGCTCAGCGGTGGGCACCAAGGTGCTCATCAAGTCGGCCGGCACCAGCGCCTATACCTACATGCCAAACATCAAGTGAGATTTCCTGTCTGCCCTATTCAATTCCTCAAGTTGATGCCACATTGCTATTCACTGCAGCCGCTAGTGGAATCAGGTGCACGGTGCACGAATGAGGCACGCAACAGTCGTGTTTGCCCGTGTGCCGCATGGCTGCGGCGCAGCCACTTGTAACCACATGATGCATCTTTGGGTCTGTGGTGTGGCCGTCACTCACCCCAAACCCCCTGCGCCCATCGTTCTCCTGTTCTCGTCGTAGGTGCGGCGCTGGTGTTGCCCACGGCATCGACAACCTCCTGCTGCCCATGGCTTTGACAACTATTGCCAAGTACATTTAAGGCGGCATAATCCGGCTCTGACAGGCGGGCAATTCAGCTCAGCGTGCTGCCCGCAGCCACTGTCTCCTGGATGGGTGTGCTTGAGCCACAATCTAGGTCGAACGCTGCACGCGACATCCCCCGTAGTGGGCGGACTTGATACGGTCTCAAACCACAGTGTGTCTTTCATAAGGAACTGCTACTTTTGCCATGGCCGCTGATATCTACGCCTGTTGTTGGGCCCTCAAATGTTCTTCGCCCTCTGTGAAGACGTCCTGCCCGTTATCAACCAGCTCATACAAGCGCGTTTACCCGACCAGAAATTTGCTCTGTGTGTAAGTCATCACTACTGCGTGCTCTGTTCCCTTCCCTTCGCTTATGGTGTGGTGTGGACTGGTTGGTGCCACAAATCTTGTGCGTGCCAGTTACCAGGCCTTGCAGCCCATCTCAGCATGAGACCACAGCTGGCAAATCGATGTGGTCAAGAGGTGTGACAAGTTACGAGGCCATATAAGTTGGGTGCTGAAGAGCATACAGCCGGCTCACCAAGGGGTGGGTTGTTACAAAAAGAAACTGCGAGCATCTCCGCCGCCACCAGGCACTTGCCACTGGCTGTCAGCCGGTCCTCTTCAGCCAGCAAACCTTGCAGGGACGAGGCGATGCATTCACATGCAAACATACCAATCAACGTATCACCAGAAGCTTTGTGCACCTATGTACATGAGCACATCAAATGCCTAGCATCCTCGTTGCATGCAGAGTTGCGAGCCGAAGTGCGCCACTGGATGCCGTGCTCTTCCAGTTGCTGCATGGTGCACTGCAGCAGCTGCACGCGCTAGACCAAGGGGCGCAAAAAACCAGAGGCCGGGCTCTGTGTCCACAGGATCAATCTCCATGCAATCGTGATCACACATATTCGTTACTCACGTTTTCAAGCGCGCCACACTTGTGCACTAGATCGCTACTCGGGAACAACGCGAGTGCCAGCGCCGCTGCTGCAGCCATGGATCTCGGACCGTGCATGGCTTTAGATGCTCAGGGCAAGGCCGAGGCCCCACACACGGGCACCACCATCGTGGCGGTGACGTTTGACGGCGGCGTTGTGCTCGGCGCGGACGGGCGCGTCAGCACAGGCACATACATCAGCAACCGCGCATCAAACAAGATTCAGCAGCTCACAGACAGCATCTACCTCCTTAGATCCGGCAGCGCGGCGGACACGCAGGCCATTGGCGACTATGGTGCGCCACTGCCAACGGGGCCAGCCCAGCGCGTGCGCGCACCTGCGCGCCGGGTGTGCGCCGCGTCTGTGTGCATGCATGAGCATAAACGTAGCATCGCCTCAGCTGCTGTGCTGGTCGCTTGTACCGTGTCAACATGCCTAATTTGAGGAGGCTGCACTCAGTACACATGGAGTGGCGTGGCCATTGTCGCAGCGAATTCCCTCCTCGGGGTGCGCCGGCACCTGCCCGCATCCACGCACTCTCTTGCGCCCGCTCTGCCGCTGTGCTGCAGCGCGGTATTTTTCGGAGCAGCTAGCAGCGGAGCTGGGCCGTGCCCCAAACGTCTCCACTGTCGCCAAGCTGGTGTCTACGGTGAGATCCGTGGCGCTCCTTGTTGCTGCCAGCGCCATGACAGTAGCCTGCAGTGTTTCAGTCGTGCGCTGCTCGTGACTGCTGCGCCGTTGACTACTGTCCCCATCATCCCAACAAACCTTCCGTCGCACACACGCAATCCAGATGAACTATCAGAACAAGGAGATGCTGATGGGGGCCATGATCGTGGCGGGGTATGACGAGCAGAAGGGCGGCCAGGTGGGGGTGGGCGCCGGCTGGATGGAGGGGGTTGCGAGGGGGGAGACGATGCAGATCATGGCCTTCATGTTTCAGATTCACCCAATGTGTGAGAAGTTGCTGAGGTGTGTTGTTTCTCTCGCGGCTCTGCGCGCAGCCTGCCGGGTTCAACCCAGGGCTTGCCTGGCGGGCTTTTGGCAGCTTTGTCACCCGACACTGGGGCCATCTTCCGCTACTGCAGGTGTACGGCTGCCCCATTGGCGGCTCGCTGGTGCAGGAGCAGTGGGCGGTGGACGGCAGCGGCTCAACCTACATCTGGGCAGCACTTGATGACGGTTTCAAGTGAGCGCACCTCGCCAGCAACGGACCGATTGGGGACTATGTGGTCTTGCGGCAGTGAGCGCGGCGCAGAAGCTAAAGCAGCAGTGCGGGGCAGAGCACAGCTTACCAGCGTGCTCGGAACACCAGCTAAGGTGGCTGTTGTCAGTCGCCCCACGCATGCTACAGTAGCAACCTCTTGCCCGTGGGTCACATGTGGCAACAATGCGCGCGACACACACACGTGTACACGCACTTGTGCACACAAGCGTGCGGGCACACACACAACACACACACACACATGCACACACACACATGCACACTCAATCACGCACACTTGTGCACATGTGTGCACGCATCGGCCCCTCATTCAATCAGGGAGGGGATGACGCGCGCTGAGGCAGAGCAGCTGGTCGTGGACGCGCTGTCACTCGCCATGGCCCGCGATGCGTCCAGCGGCGGCATTATCCGCACTGTCACTCTGGACAAGGCTGGTGCCACAGTCAAGTACGTGCCAGGCAACGAGGTGCCCACCTGGTTCGAGGACCTGCCAGCGCCTGGCACAGCGATGGCTGTTGGTTAGGCCTGGGGTGCCCGTGGCTGTGGGCTGCGCTGCGCTAGATGTGTGGCGCTGTAACAACAAGGTATCTTACTCGTTCATGGTTTGCAGGGAGGGCAGCATGTGCTTGATGCTGCTTTGCAAAGCTGAGCAACCAGCCCCATTGCTCACAACGAGGGCACTAGGCTCTGCATGCTCAAAATTTCGACATCATTCCCTGCAAATGTGTTGGTTGGCAGCCTCTCCAATGCTGGCGTCAAACAGTTTTCATCCAAAACTTGTACAACGATGCACACACAGCACAAAATCAGCTACACTGACTTGTAAACGTGCAAAAGAAATGCCAGGCGCTCCCTGCGCGCTAGCCGGCACCCTCAGCCGCTGCGCCCTGCCGTTTTTGTGCGGCCAGGGGCGAGTGCGCCGCGACGACGTCCAGCAGCGCCGCCACCCGCTCCTCTCCCAGGCGTCCCTCTGCATTCTCCACGACGAGGTGCAGCTCCACCTCGCTGGTGGGGGCCAGGTTGAGGACCTGCAGCAGCTCGGTGCGCGACAGACCAAACGGCTGGCCCGGGGGGAGGGGGGGCATAAGGCGGGCGTATGGCAGCACTATGTAATCACTCAATGGGTTTTGAAACGGGATGAGCCCAGCATTCATGGGCCATGGACGTCACACAGGCGCTTCAACCCCCCTTGCATCCTCCGGCACTGGCTGCCGGCCAGCAATGCCTTGCAAAATCAACCAAACCCGACCCCACCTGCAGCGCTTCCTTGAAAGCATCTAGCTGCTGCCGTGTGAGCTCCCCCGCAGAGTGGGCCTGCAGGTAGCGCAGCACCTGCAGAGGGGCGAATGCTGCGGGATCAGCGCAATGCCGGCCAAATGATCTCGCTGAGGTGCCCCTTGCAGCTGCTTGCCCAACGAGAAAGCTTCAAACACAACGTTTGCCGCAAGCTATGCCCTTCAAACGCCTGGGTCGCTGTGTGCTATTGGCGAGCTCATCCCGTGCAGAAGAGCCGCACCAGCTTCTCGCTTGGGCGTGCGCGTGCACTGGGAGCGTCGGTGTCGGCGCCCCGGGCCTTGAGCACCTGGGGTGAGTTTAGGGCGGGGTCAGCTAGCCAAGTAGGACAGGTGACATCAAGAAGAGGGCCATTGTGACCATACAGCATTGTGCGTGCCCTGCTCCGCCCAAGATTCAAGAAGAACACAGTGGGCTGCAGAAATTGTGGAGCAGTCAAGTGCTTCCTGTTCAAGGCCATGGCTAAAGGCGCTTGCTGCAGGGCGTCTCACCTCTATGACCTCACTATTTGTCAGTAACCCTGCATTCTTCTCGAGGCTGCAAGGTTTAAACATGCATATTATGGCCACAGCAGCGCACGAGCGGGGCGGCAGCAGCTGTTTCAGCTAGGACACAGCAGTGCGGCACAGCAACACCGCCCGTTGCCAGACCACTGCTTCAACCAGAATCCGCACACACATGTGAGAGGATCAATTTGCATTCAGGGTTCGCTGTTTCCTCACATCTTCATGCTGCTGCAACTTCTGCTGTCGCCCCCGACGGGCCTGGGGCGGCCCCAGCAGCAGCTCTGCGCGCCGCCACCTGCCGCGCCTCAGCGGCTCGGGTTCCTGATTACTTTGAAAACGAGTCCAGGAATCCTTCTCAGGCTTGTGGAGCTAGCCAAAGTCACTGGCCGAAGCGGCTAATAACAAGACGGCAAGATCAATGAAGACGCGTCAACTGCAATTATGACAAGCTACTGGCGATCAGGCACTCGAGCCATTGAGAGCTGTACCCGGTCTCGGCCGCGATCAAGTCGCAATGAGGGCGACACTACAGTATCAGTTGCCGCCGTTGCCCGATGCTGACGCCAGCACACTTTCGCTTCGCCGGGGAGCGGGCGCTATCCACTGCTTCCTCGTGCCATCAGTTCCCCTGAATTACAACCACAGGGTTTACACTTCCCAACAAGGGGCGCACAGGGACCGTAAAAGCTGGCCCGCCCAGTTGTCTGGCACAAGCACAGTGCGGTCAAGGGTGTAGGAAGGACGGATAGGCCATATACAATGTGATGCTTGGATCAGCCAGCAACGCATTCAGAGGCAGCGCTACTCACCTGAGGATTTTTGCTGAGCAGCGCAGCAAGGCTTCAACCGCTGGACGGCCTACGTGCTCGCTGCGCCATGACCGCCTTGCTGTTGTGGGGAACCCCTTGACCGTTTGCTCTGTGACCCTCACTTGCATGGACTTCGGCCCAGAGATGAAATGAGGCCGTGACTTGAGGCCAGACCATGACTTTAGCCTAGAGAACAGCAGCAAGCGATAGGTGAACACGTTTGGCATGTATTCACGCGCTGCTTGAGAATCCTAGCTGCAGCACCCTTCAGCTGCCGCCACCACACACTCCACTCCTATTCTAGGGCTGCCATACAGATGTCCAGCTTATCTGTCACTCGCTGGCGCCTGTCATTCAGCATTCATGTTATGCACGTGTTGGCTCACCAGCTGTCCCATGACAGCCATTTTGAGAATCCACAGGCGTGTGCATGACGACCACACAACCCCTCCCGCAAAGCAGCACAAATGGGAAGGACATGCCCAGACAAATAGGCTTACCCAGAAGATTGATGCTGACTGGGACAATGCAGACGGTAATCACGAAGCAGCTATGATAAGATCAAGCATTGTACGGCTCTGTGGCCCCGCAAACTTCTCCATTGCATCCTGCACCCCTGCACACAAACATGGGCAGATCTTGCGTGCCGGCAATACCCCTGGCTGCCCATCCTGCGCCTGAAGAAGAACCAGTGCAAGCAGCAGCGCCCACTGATATGCAGCAGCAAGAGGAGTAGTAGGAAGCGGACTGGCTTCTGCCCGGCGGAAACACCAACCCCTGTGATCGGGCATACCCTCAACTCGGGCTCCCTAGCGTGCACCTTGAGGGCGTGCCTCGGACACCCTCATGGCTATTTTCAAGCCCACCCTGTTATATCTTGCAATGGCCACCCCGGCATGTCGGAACATAGCCGCCGTTGCTGCTGCAGTGGCACCCCGATGCCGGCAACAAGCAGCGCACTGCGTTGCTGCTGCAGTGGCACCCCGATGCCGGCAACAAGCAGCGCACTGCGGCAAGTCACACGTTGATTATGTGCGCATCAGTAATCAAAAGCAGCTCCGCGCTGTTGTAGGGATATTTTAGGTAGGCATTGCTACGCCAAGCCTGATCAGCATTTCTTGTCACAGGGGGAGTTGCGCATCATAGCACAGCGATTGGGGTGCGCTGCACGCACCACTGCACTCGCTTCTCGAGTGCCACGTGTGCACCATGGCCCGATCACTTGCGCAATGGTGGACTGCAGACCTGACATTGCAGGTCATTGCGCTGACCAGCTTTGAGCCCATGTTTGCGGGGCCTGGGCAACTACACGTGTTGGCGAGGAGCAGCAGCAGCGGCAGCAGCAGCGGCTGCAGCAGCACGAGCAGTGGCTGTGGCGTGCACGGCAACCGTCATCCGCCTGGGCCGGCAAGACTCAGATCAATAAATGGAGTGTTACGTATGTGAATGTTGATTTATATATGCGGGATTGCCCATGCGCAGCACCAGTCACTGCTGGAAGCACTTGATGAACACCCTTGCCAGCTGTCTCCCAAGGAGAAGAGTGCCATCAGTCTGGGGGTCCGTGATGCACGCACTCATTTGCTTTGGTCAATCTTGGATGTGTTTGTTCGCGTAAAGGCAGCACGCACCCGGCCGTTCGTCCCTCGGGAGCAGCAGGCACAGCGCATCCAGTTGGCGCTGCCTCGAGGACAAGCGGCGACTGCCGCGTGCCCCCGGCAACCTTCATAGCATCCCGATATTGTATTGCATCTTTGCACGAGAGTGTCCTCACACGGCAGCAGGTGCGTGCGCGGGCTGCTTCAAAGCAGCCCTGTTTCGCGCCAGACTCGACCTTGTGCGCCCTGCAACCCGTACGTATAATTTTTTGTCCACTGTTTGACCCATTTACGCCTTCTTCACGCCGTACGCAGTCCGGGTGTTGAGTCGAGTTGATCATTGCCCCGGGTGACTGACTGACCGGAGCAGTGCAGCATCAAGCCAGCGCAGCAGAGGCCAGTGGCGGCCGCGGGTGAAAGAGCAGCTGGAACAGCAATGGGCGAGTTTCACCAGGCGCAGCTGCCGGCGCCGTCCGACATGTCGGCGGAGCCGCGCTTGTACATTTACAAGCAGTTCATCGTCGTGCTGGTGCTTGGCGCGCTGGGCGTCGTCGTCGCGTCGCCTTTTACGCCCAATGGCTCCATTCTCTGGTTCCTGGCCTTCTTCACCAGCATCAACCTGTTCAACGGCCTGGGGCAGGCAGCGCGAATGGTCAGTGCGGTGCTCAAGATGCGCGCCCGCATCGTCCCCCGCGCGCCTGGCGCTGCCCAGCTCAAGGCGCTGCAAAAGGGTGCCTCGCTTGGCGATGCGGACGGGGAGGGCGCGTGCCTGCTGAACGTGGACGATGTGCCGGCGTGGCACCACGTGTTCGTGATCCCAAATTATAAGGAGGACCTGGCTGTGCTGTCAGCAACCCTGGACCGGCTCGCGTCGCACCGCCACGCCAGCCACTACACAATCCTGCTGGTGGGTCTGCAACGCCAGGAATTGCGATGCGCTGGATCAATTTGATGTGGCATAAGCAGTTGCTTTGCGGCTGGAGCGTGGGCATGCCGGGCTGCGCATGGAAGCAGCAACTCCCCATTCTGCACAGGCAACGTGTGGCGGCCCGCCTGCTTTTTGAGTGGCAGCCGCACAGCAGCGGCCGTTGAGTCTGCCCCTGGAACGCTGGCTGCTGCCCGTTACAGCCTGCAGCCGGCCTGATTGCAGCCGCGCGCATGGCATACACAGAATCTGACCTGCAACCACTTGTGCATACAGCAGTGAATGCGTAATTCTGCACCCGCGTTCTAAATAACACTAAAAGGCTATGGAGGAGAAGGAGGCCTATGCGGAGCAGAAGGCGGCGCAGCTGCAGGAGCAGTACTGCCTCCGCTTCAAGGCCATCCTCTTCACGCTGCACTCCCTCGACCCCGTCAATGAGATGCCCGGCAAGGCCTCTAACGTGAACGCGGCAGTCCGCCAGTTTGCGGCAACCGTGCCGCCGTCGGACCGCGCGCGCTACCTGCTGACCATCATGGACGCGGACGCGCTGGTGCCGCCCGCCTACGTGACGCAGCTCGAGGCCACCACCGCCGGCCTGGGGAGCAGCGCCGCCGACAACGTGTACGCGGCACCAGTGCTGTTTGAGCAGAACGGCGCGGCGGTGCCCAGCCTGGTGCGGGTGACGGACTACACGTGGGGTGCGCTGGCCATGCAGAACCTCAACAACTGGACCGGGGTGGGGTTCCCCATCTCCAACTACAGCCTCTCACTGGCCCTGGCCGCCTCTATCGACTTCTGGGACACCTGGTGGGTTTCGTGTCGTGTTTTTTGGGGAGGGGGGGCGCCTGGGGGCGCCTCCCCTGTTGTGCTGACTTGAAGGCCGAGGTTGGGCAAAACAATCAGCCGTGCAAGGGATCACGCCAAGTGCAACGATTGGCACAGCCTGTCAGGGTGGTGGGTGGCAGCACAGGGGCGCGGCTGAGAATGTGTGGTCAAGGTGATTGATTGCCAGGTCTCACGGCTGGCCGCGTGGTACAGTGTCAGCCTGCTCTACGCTCTGGTCAGCATCTCACCGGGCGGCGGATCCCCACTAATCGCAACCAACCCAGGCCGGATGCTATCGGCGAGGACATGCACATGTTCATCAAGGCCTACGCCAAGACGCGCGGGGCGGCGCGGCTGTACCCCATATTCGCGCCCATCAACATGGGCCACGTCAACGCGGACGGCTTCTTCGCCAGCTGCGTGGCGCGGTACACCCAGGTGCGGGGCCCGGGACGCGGTGAAGACGGCGAGTGGGGCCCAAAGGAGCTGCAGCGGTGGCACGTGCTGCGCAGCAGGCCGTGGTGTGTCTGCGCGCGGTTCAGTGAGGCAGGGAATGCACGGGGGGGCGTCAGCAGAGCACGGCGCTGGAGGCTGATGGCAGGGGATGGCTGCGGTCGTGTGGCAGGTCGGCCAGTGACCAGGGTGACCAGCGTTTTGGACGGAGTTGGAGTCGAAATCTTACCAGCAGCAGTTATGCAGCTGGTGCTTACGGGGCGCCCTGCAAGGGGCCAACAGGGTCGCGGCAAGGAGGCAGCAAGGCGGCGGCACAGGGGCAGCAGGGTGGCGTGCAGCAGCGCCAAGGGAGGTGGCAGCGTCTTGGGAGGTTGCAGCAAGGCGATGTTCTAGCCTCGGCCTCACGCCACCAACCCCCGGTGAAACCCGCTACGCAGGCCGAGCGCCACATGCGCGGCATCGCCGACACGGCGTACGCGATGCGCGAGGTCGTGAGCGGCAGCGTGCCGCTGAACTGGCGGTCCCTGGCGCTGGTGTTTGGCTGCTGGGAGGCGCACCTGGTGTCGACGGTGTCCCTCATCGCGTACATATTCCTGCCGCTGCTGTACGGCGCGCTGGGCACGCTGGGCGTGGCGTACCACGACCACCCGCTGCAGCGCGCCGTCATCGACACCATGGGGCGCTGCAACCTCGTGCTCATGGTGACCGTCCTCATCTGCCACGAGGTCGCGCGCGTGATCTGCCGGCGCCACCTGTACGGCCTACGGGGGCCGGCCATTCCCTGCACGCCGCACGGCGTGGTGGTGCACGTGGCGTCTTACCTCTGGCTGTTCATCGGGGTGTGGTTCTACACGGTGCTGCCCATGCTGGTGGGTGGGGGGGCGGGAGGAAGGGCGAGAAGGGCTGCACGGCTGGACTCGCGGGGTTGCTGGCAATGGGATGTTGTTTGGGGTATGGCAGGACGCGTGATGCGGGCTTGCCAGCAGCAGCAGCTTCTTGCACGTTTTTCTGCTGCTGCAAGTCTGCCGCCAGGTCCAGCGAGGTGCATAAAAGAGCATCGCGACACATCGCAGCGTGCCACTCGTGACCCGCGCTGCCCTGTGGCCGCCCTGTCCCTCCCCGTGCAGGTGGTCATAGTGAAGCACGCTCTCAACATCCGCAGCACAAACTACATTGTGGCCGAGAAGAAGGTCACGACAGAGGCCATCACCCACCACCACCACCACCACATGACCTCAGACGCCACCTCAGCGCCCGTGCTGCCGGTCAGCATGGGCGCGCTCGCGCACGGCGGCGCCAACAGCGGCAGCGCGGGCAGCCTCGCGGCGCTGGGCGGCGCGCGTCGCAAATAGGGGTGCGGCGGCACCGCGCGCGGCGGTGTGGGGCAGGTGGGGGTTGAGGCGCTCTCGGAGGGCGGCGTGCTGCCGCGGCGCTACGTCCTGGTGTCCAGCAGCACGGCGTTTGTCTGACAGCGCCGCAGCCGCCACGCCGCAGCTGGGGATGCCGCCCCCTGGCTGCGGGTGGGCGCTGCGGCGCACGAGAGGCTCGAGGGCTGCGAGCGGGCGCGGCTGGCTTTCCTGGCCGCGCCGGCCTTGTGGCAGGCCGAGCGGCGCACTGCCTGTCTGCAGCGCCTGTGGCAGCAATCGCAGGCAGCAGCCGCTACGGCAGGTTGGCAGACTGCTTTGAGCACCAGAGCATTGCCCTGTGCTGAGCAGCAGGCTACCTGCCTCCGCCTTGGTATGGCCCTGCGTGGATGCGTGATGCACACGTCCTGCCTTCGGACATATACCCGCGCCACCGTCTCGAGGCCCTGTTGAGAGCACCTGCCGCCTTGTTTGAACCCCTCCCATGCACACAACACCGCGCGCGCTGCCGCACCGTGTCGCGAGGAGCACACGCAGTTTGACAAATCGACAGCTTGGAAGCGATTTCTGATGCACGTTATGGGTTGATCCGATGTATCGCCCTCGTTTGTATGAGAGCGTTGAGACGTGCGCACCGCTGCAGCGCAGAGCTAGCACTCTCAGTTTGCAGTGCGTGGTGATCTAGACAGCTCTTGCGCCCAGGATGAGGGCACCGTTGGTGCCGATGGCGGCCACGCAGTCGCCGGCCGCCGCTCGTCCGGTGAATCGGCGTCCACCGGCGGGGAGCCGGCCCTTGCAACTCCACACCACGGGCTACCCGGCGCCGCATTGCGGTTTTTGGTCACCCTTGACCCTTTTTTGGTCCAAAAATCGCGTCGGCTGCATGGAGCATGCGCCACATGGCGCAAGCTGCTGGCCCCAGAGCAGGCCCTGGCTGGATTGCCTCTGCCTGCGGCCCCAGTGCGAGCATGCTCGCTCTTTTACCCTGTTGACCTGATCTGCTTTTGCACCTCACGGCAGCGGCCGTGATTGACGAGGCACACAACAGCTTGCGAGCTTTTGGGCGATCTGGCCGCCGCCTTGGATTTGATTTGCGCCCCTGAGCCTCCGCGCAGGTGCGATCTACATCCCACGATGATGTTGACAGCTTCTTTATCTGCCTTGCCCTATCGCCCCAAACAGTCTTTCTCCGCAGCGTTGTGTGTGTGCGGATTCACCCCGGTCTTCTTAGCCAGCACCCCCTCCACGCGCAATGGAGGCCGCACGGGGCACCCCCCTCAACACTGTCATGTGTCAGGCACGCATCTCAGCAATGCTGCTGCATGCCCACGCGCGCACCTCCGCCATGGCCCCTGGCAATGAGGCAGCCTGGCGCTGGGGAGCGCTGCGAAATCGTTACACAGCCGCTAGCTACCCTAGTCAGTAGATAGGCCCTTTCCTTTCAATCTTGAGTGGTGTGCAGCAGGACCCCCGGGGCGCCGCCGCAATGTGTAACCTCGACAGGTGTTGGCACCCCATGGCAACCCCTTGCTTGAGAGGAGTGCGGAAAGGTTGGCGCATGTGGCAGGCGGTGCAGGGGTTGAGGTTGGAGCAGATCTGTGGGCTGTGAATAAGGTGCGTATTGGAGACAAGAATAGCCAGTTGATAACTGCGTGTGGAAGTTTGAGCCCAAAGGCCAGGCCCCATGCTGGCACGCACAACTCCGGTCGGGTGCTCCGCATCTCGCTGCGCATGCTGGATCGTGCTTCATATGAACGCGAGAGGTATCGCGTCCGCACGCAACAGGCCGACTCTGGAGGAAGACGTCGACAGGGCGGCTCAGGACTGCTGAACAGGCGCGAGCATGGCCATTAGCGGATGTGAGCGTCAACTGAGGACAAATCTGGTGACAATGTTGAACACAACATAAAGAAGTGCAGGCGAGTGGGAGGGTGTTGCTGTGAGCACTGTGGTCGCGTGTGTGCAGCACGCTACTGCAGCTTCTCAATCATGCGAGCGCCCTGCACTGCTTACGGCAGCCACACTGTCTATGCGCCAGCACAGGTGGCGTGTGATGCAGCATCACACGTTTTCGGGGCTGCTGACCGCGGCTGCTGCAACATGGGTGATTGGGTCTGTCTTAACGCCCGGCAGGCCGGGCAGGAGTACCCCTGCATGGGAGGTGGGTGCATGGGGAGGGGCAGGAGGAGGCACCGCTTATCCAGCAGCGCACATGAGCATGAGCCGCCAAGCTGGAAGCTAAGAGCGCTTTCCCATCCCTGACCGGCCACAACCGCATGAAACCTTTGACCCACGCACGCACCTCGCCCAAGCTTGTGGTTGCAGAGAACGCCTCACGCCCCCAATCCCCGCAGCGCAAGGGCGTGTGCGTCCACCACCCCCTGCGCCCCCAACCCACGGCCCCCAGTGTGGCCACGCACCCATGCAGTCCTGCAGCCGCTCCAGCCCCACCCCCAGCTGCCGCAGCAGCAGCAGTGCCGCGCACCACCGCGTCGCGTCCAGGTCCCCGCGCCGCAGCATGCCGCCCACCAGCGAGCCGAGCGCGCCGCTGGAGCCGCGCTTGGCGCGGTCGACCTCCACCTGCTTCGCAACCGCCCGCTGCCACCTGGCGCGCGCGCGAGCGCCCGCCGCCCCCGCACCCGCCAGCTCGGAGGCCCCTGCGTCGCCACCTGTCACGCCCCCGGCGCCTGGGGCGACCTGGTGCAGCTGCAGGGAGAGGGCGCCGAGCTGCCTGTTGAGCTCCTGGTAGCGCGCGACATGGGCGGCCGCAGCGGGGGCAGAGGGCTTGGGGCGCTGGCCATAGGGCAGGGCGTCGGCGAATGCCTGGCAATGGTGTGAGTTGGGGGCGGGGCAGGGGGACAGGTTGCTTGAGGGTGTGAGGAGGGGGGGGGCAAGCTGCGACGGCTCAGGATGGGGTGTGAGCAAGCCGGTCAAAACCTCTGGTGCTGTGGTGTGGCCAGGCCCTCAGGCTGCGCCCCTTGGAGCGCCTCTTGCGCGCGGTTGGTAAGCGGAACTGGCCTCAATGCTCTAGACCGCACGGCCCAGCCATCCTTGTTAAACACACACGCGCGCGCGCACACACACACACACACACACACACAAACCCTCAATCCCAAGCAGCCACCACGCCACCAGGTAGCAGCACCCGGCCGCCCACCTGCAGGGCAGCAGCGGCCTCGTCCCCCATCTCATCCACCAGCCGGCGCGCGTCCGGCCCCAGCGCCTTGGGCAGGCGGTCCAGCAGCGTGCCGCCGGCACCACTGCTGCCTGCTCGGAGGGGCGCAGCCGGAAGAGTTGCGGGGCTGCCTATCACAGCCTGCCTCCCAGGGCGCGACGTGACAGCGGCCCGATCATGCTTTCGCCACGCCCAGCGCTTCACCGGCGGCAGGACCTGCGATGCTACACCATATAGAAGCCAGTATTTTCGCTGTCGCTGCTGCTGGCACCTCGATTTAATCATGTCGTACGTCACGTACGTCACCGCCGATGACGTCACCCCCCTCACCTGGCGTGATCATGAGCCACAGGGCGCGGTGCAGCGTATGTATCACGTGGGCAACCGCCAGGGTGTCGCCGATGAAGGGCGGCTCAACACTCCGCAGCGGCACCGGCGCAAAACACCTGGGGCCGCACCCGTTTGTGAGGGGAGAGTGTGTGTGAGGGGGGGCAGCTAGGACGACACAGGAGAGGCGGGGAGGGGACTGCTGCAATTGACAGAGCATTGCGCGTGCAGTGCCCAGCAGTGAGACCCTGTTTCCCCACCAAAAAGGGGCCAAAGGGGCAGGTAGGGCTCCCGGTTTCGGAGTTTGGGTGGCTCCCCCAGCCCCCATGAGGCGCCGCGCGCCACCCCGTCTCAAATCCCCGCGCCCTTCAACCTGGGACCACGCGGGCCCCCCCCCGCTCACTGCAGGCCGCCGGGCAGCCGGCCCACGTAGCCCTCCTTCCTGGTATCTGGCAGCAGCGCCTGGATCTCCCTCACTGTGGCCGGGATGCTGGCCACCAGCGCGCTCACGCCCGCGCCCGCCCGCAGATGGCCCGCCCCCGGCTTGCCGGCGGCGCCAGCGCGCGCGGGGTTTGGGCTGCGCCCGCTCCTGAGCACGGCTTCGGCCTGGCGGGGTGGACGGTGTTGTTGCAGGCGGGTGCGGTGCAGGGCCGATGAGGTGTGGCCGAGCAGCAAAGAGGGTGTCGTGGCGCTGCGCAGAGAAACAGCAACGCACGGCGGCAAGGGACCAGTGCGAAGGCTGTTTCCCACGAGTCTGAAAGTGGCCAAGGAGTTGGGTGAGGCAGTACGATCAGCTACGGCTAGGCAGGACGGCCGCTTTCTGGGTGCGCGCGCCGCTCGTTGTGTGCTGCTCACCAGTTCCTGGAGCTCGCGCAGTGCTGTGCCCAGTCCGTCCACCACCTGCCGGGGACCAGTGCAGAGCCAGTTGCCGGCCGGTAAGAGGGGGCTGACAGCAGCAAATCACTGCAGCCTTTTTGCTTGCAAGGCTGCGCTTGTGTTGGTGGGCAGGAGCCGGACGTGAAGCCGGCCGCGCCTGCCACCGGCACAGGCACAGTTGCGAGTGCAGGTGGCAGGAGCAGCGGTGGTCCCGCGCACCTGCTGTGTGGCTGTCCTAGGGAAGAGGACAGATGACAGGACAGTGTACACCTGCACACGGATGGAGTGGGCAGGCGAGGGTTAGGCCGGATGGCTCGAACCCCCTGGGGGATAAAGCTTGACAATGGAGGGGGGGAAGCAGCAAGGGGAACCGTGTGTGGCGTTCAACTGTCCAATTGACAAGCCCAGGGCACCTTGCGTGGGGGTCGTCGTCCCACAATCAACTGCCGTGGCCAATGCATCCGCCAACGCTGCCCACCAGGATGCCGCCGGCTATGCCGCACGTCTTGACCCAGGTGGCGTTCACGGCCGCCATGGGGCTGTCAAAGCCCACACAGACTGGAGAGGAGGTTGGGCAGGGTGGCGGAGGGAGGAGGAAAGGGTATGAGGAGCGGCCACTGGTGGTGTAATAGGCAGGATGTGAAATTCAGGGTTCCGGGGCCTCACGTCTTGGGCAGGCAACACCAGCAAGAAAGTGGGGACATACCACCCTACTCCCGACTGCAGCAACGAGCGCGGCAGAAGACAGCACGCCTCACGCAGTTGCAGGGGCAACCCCAATCAAGCCGCGTCAGCGCGCGTCACGCTGAGCGACGGAGGGGGTTCTACAACCGTCGGCGGCCACTCGCCGACGAATGCGGCGACCACCATTGGCGGGTAGAGGTACTGCTTCCCGACCAGGAAGTGGCTGGAGGTCACCGCGAGGAACGTGAACACGCCCAGCAGCAGCCCCTCAAACCACCACGCCTGGGGTGGTCCCCCGGGGATCGTTGGATCGTGAACAGTCTGATAGAGGCAGCAAAGACCTGTGCGTGGTATCCGTATTTACACCCCCTCCCCCATCGCGGGGGTTGTGGTGAAGGGCCGCGCACCCAACGCGGCCGCAGAACACCTCCACCGGCACGCACCAGCGGCGCGTTACCCTCCGTTCTGGCCACTTTAGTTGTGTGGTGCCCGCTGGTCTGTTGGCAGGGATGCCTTGTCTGACCCGCTCCAACACACTCTCTGGGGGTGTTTTGTATCCCGTGCCGTCTGGGACAATGTGGCCACCCCCCTCACCCGCTACCACCCCCACCTGATATGACAGGTAGATGCCACAGAACAGCCACCCACCAATCATGACTGCACGGGAGAGACGTGCACAGGAAGTGCCGCAGGTGCGGTGCGCTGATGCAGTGCGGCGTGTGCGCCGATGCGGCCACGACCTCGTGTCTTGTTGCTGCGCAGTCGCGCACTGGCGATCCCATTGCTAGCATAACCATTGGTGCGCTGGAAGCGGCTCACCCTCTTCGCAGGCCCCCTGTCAGCCCCGTGTGAATTGCGGACAGCCTCCTCCCCAACAACCGCGCGCCCCACTGCCCTGTCCCCTGCAGACCCCTGCCCACCTCCCAGGATGCGCTGCAGCCCCCGCAGCACTGAGTTCCCCAGGTGAGGCATCGCCACGACAGACACAGTCACCATGGCCAGCTGAGATGGTGTGATGGTGGGGTTGACGTGGGAGTAGGGTGGAGGGGAGGGGAGCAGGGGGGTAGAGGCATGCACAGTGCCCGGGGCGCCGGGATCGTTGCGGCAGAAGGTGGTTGCAGCAGCGATGCACCCTCAGCGGCGCGTTTTTGGAGACGAGTGTCTGCTTGTCGCTTGCTATTGCTGGAGTGCTGGGCGGGCTCCTGCAGGCTGCAGGACTCTGGTCCACCTACCGAGCAGAGGCTTTGGACCCTGCTGCGGTACGGGTTACTCCGTGGCAGCTTCTCGGTCACAACAATGAAGATCGCCACAAACACCGCCATGGACGCAGCTGCAGTCGCGCCCTGTCAGCATGAAAGCGGGCGGACAATGATCGCGAATGGTGTGTGGCGCCTGGATTCGTCGGGGTCCGAGGCCGGGTTCCCGGCGAATGCAGGGGTGCAGTGCGCCGCACCCCACCAGCGCAGCGCGTCCAGGTGAGCTCCGCTGCAGTGCTGGCCCTCACCCCGCGCTCACCAGGTGCAGGGCAGAGGGCAGAGCCTCGCTCATTGTGCGCTTTCGCGGCTTGGCCGGGATAGCCAGCATCTCAAGGCGCGCGTCGGCCATGGCGGCCGGCTTTTTTCCCGCCGTGTGCAACGTCTCGGTCGCCGTGACGGTGGTCATTGTGCTCCTCTCGCCGCTCAGCCGACGTCAATGCGAAGTTCCAGGAGACCTCAAGTCACTTTTGGCTTACGGGCTGACGCGGGTGATTGGGCGCTCCGTGACAGTGAGTGATAATGGTTCGATCTCAACGGCCGGGTGACGCGACACCTCGAAAGCAACATGTGTAATTCTGTACGTGACCTAACAGCCCATGTAGCGAATATAGGCGCTTAGCTTCTGAGTCACCCGGGCCAGATCAGCAGGCGCGTGTTTCGTCGTGGGACTAGTGTGCGAAGGCCGACAAGGAGCGCGTCTGCAACGGAGATGGAGCGGAATGGCCCGACTCAACCAGCGGGAGACAGCAGCGGCACCTGGGAGGACGCGCCACGCCAAAACTCACAGCGCCACGACACCCTTCCCAGCTGGTGCGCCGCCTGTGGCCCATCCGCACGCGAGGGGCGGCATGACACTGGGGCGTGTGGCATCCCGCGCGCGAGCATTCCGCACCTGCGATATGAGTCCCGCTAAGGAGCGACACACCCTGCACATGGTAACCCTCCTGTCCCCAAACCAACCGCCCAGGTTCCGCCTCTCGGCCAAGCTGGTGAGATACAGGATGGCGGCGGCTGCAAGTGCCTCTACGCGACCGCGCTCAGGCCGCGATCGCCGCGGCTTCGCCGGCCACTGCTGCCTGCTTTGTGCCCTGCGCAAGACGACGTGCCGCCTGGCCACACCTCGCATGCTCATGCACCTCCCAATGCCCTCCCCCAACC